TTTGATAACTGTATTTGTACAGCCTTTCACTATTGTGATGTGTTGTTAATGATAATGTCCAACGTGTATCCTTTCTTGTACATAACAATGATGACATGTTCTGTGCACTGCGTCATTGTTACAAAGCTTGTAATTCATATTACCATTATGAATGGAGTTCATAGTTTACGAAGTCTTTGTTTACTAAACAAATGGAATTTAAAGTCCATAATTTGCCCTGCTGCTTATCTGTTTTTGTTATCACTGTTACATACAAGAAATACAGTAGTTGCCAAACCAATAGACCCATATCTCCAAAACCGTACATCTCCTTGCTCTGATACTCTAGGAATATGAGCACTAAATGTCAATCTGTGACTGACAGAAAAGAGAGTCAAATTGGTAAGAAAATTTTTTTTGCACCACTGAGTCTCAAGAGAGTCTCTCGTTTTGGCAATTGCTCATATATATATATATATATATATATATATATATATATATATATATATTTATATATATATATATATCAGTACTAATTGCCAAAACATCAAATCATGGTGAAATGCAGGGGGGCATGCCCGCCTGAAACCCCCCAGATTCTTTTTAGGTCAAACCCCCTATGTTGTTAAAAACAAGTCAAATATTAGGTACCACAAACTGAAATTTCAAAGTCCTCTGATTTCATATTTAACTGCACTACCTTATAGAATTTATCATTCTGAGCATTTTGATACCAAATTTATACACATATAGCTTCATTTTTAACAAAGTTATGAAAATCTGAAGTTGCAGAAAAATGTTACAGTTTTCTAATTGCGAAATGTCTACACTTTGAGATGTCACAACATTCTTAAATTTGAATGGACATTCACAAAAACTTGTAGACACACACCTATGCACATAGAGAACAAGCTCAATTTTTTTCAGGGCTATCAAATAACCAGAAGATGGAAATTTATTGACGTGAACATGGCTTTTTGACCAAAACGGCAAGAAATACAAGGGGAGGTTAAAATCACCACTAGCGACCGTTGGCTTATCGGCTGCGCGTCGGGCCGTGCTGAAGGGAAGAAGAGAGAATTTATACGAAACCGGGGCGATGGTGCCTTGCTTGCGAGCCGACGGAGAGCCTCCGGTGTTTATTTACGTATAATGGCTGCGTTATTCTTGAAGAGGAATGAATGGGCTTTCTGCCGATATATTTCCGTAGTCAGTCCGATCACTGGTTCCATAAAAAAACAGCACCAAAAGTTTTCACACGCAAATCTCTTCTATTAATTCTTTAAGGACAGTCTTTAGAAATATATCACCGGAAAGAGCGTCTTCTCATCTTGAAATATCGACGAATCAGATTGCAGTATTTAATACCATACGCTCCCCGTTCCTGTTCAACCGAGGTCACTCTAAAAATCAATACACGAAACGTGCGGCCGCTGCGGTGAAAACCTCGATAGTGTTGCCTTTTATCCCGCAAGATTTAGCTTTCAAAAGAATCGTTGATTCAAATAAATAATACCACTAAAAAGAGGAAAAGCTCCTCTTTCTTCTGATATAACAAGTGTCTGTGTGTATGCATGATCACACGGTGTTTTAGGAGGGTAAAAATATGGGTTTTGGTCTACGTGACTGACAGTGCGCCACAGGGTCGCACGGCCAGTTTGCGGTACCTACAAATATTACTACGCCATTGGTCCTATTCTAATATAGTTCTGTTTTTAAACTTCAATAACTCAATAACTATTGATTTACGGCTAAAATAAAAGCCATATTCGTGTTCAGTATGAAAAATACTTCTGGAACGAAAATATATAAAATGTGTATATGAGACGGGTGCATGAGTAAAAATAAACCCAGAATATATGATCATCTTAACCAGATCTTTGCTAAATTTAATCTTTAATGAACAACAAATAGAATAATAATGATGTAAAAACATTTTTTACCTCTCCAGTAAAAAATATGTCTCACTGCCCTACGCTACTTGACCTTGACCATCAATGATTTATTTATAGAGGCACCAGCCATCCATGTGCAGGTGCTGTTTTAGCCTCTTTTTCCTGTATGCGGATTAATAATATCTTTTTGCCGATTTATTGTTTCTGCTTCTATGTACCCCATATCCATGGTTCTCAACCTGGAAATCGCCTATAATTAGCTGTAATTGCCCCCCCCCTCCCCTCCCCCCTTGTAGTGTCATCATTTATGTTACCATCTATTTTTATCGATAACACGTGGATTAAGGACAGTATTAATGATAATTAAGGGGAAAAAAACAAACACCAAACGAAACAAAACTCCCATCAATTAAATAATAAATAAATAAATAAATAAATAAATAAGTAATAAATAAAGAAATAAATAATGCTATTGATTATCACAATACAAATATTGATAATGAGAAGAAGAAGAAGAAAAAGAAGAAGAAAAAGAAGAAGAAGAAGAAGAAGAAGAAGATGAAGAAGAAGAAGAAGAAGAAGAAGAAGAAGAAGAAGAAGAAGAAGAAGAAGAAGAAGAAGAAGAAGAAGAAGAAACACGGTCATAACATCAATATCAAAAACAATAATACTAACAATAGAATTGATTTCAGTAAAATAATGAAATAATATTAAAATAAATGCAGTAATATTATTATAAATCAGAATTTCTAAAAGGACACTACTTGGAATCCGCCGATTGTATGGGATCAGATACCTTGTATGAATACGTTGAATTAGATAATTCAATCCATACAATATGAGGCTATATCTTCAGATCACCATCCTTTTTTTTTCAAGAGGAAAGCAGATGTCTACTCTCATTTTGTGTTTGGTCATTCTATTGAGTTACATCTATAAGACCAATCTCCTCGTGGTCTAAGGAGTGGAAATATGATGTATATACTCAACTATTGCATTTTTTTTTCTTTTTGTAGACGGTCACATCCTTTTACCGACATCCTCTTGTGTAAGGAGTGGAAAGAAAGATGTAGAGACGCATGTTTTAAATCACTTTCAACTTGTTAAGTGGCTTGTTTTTGTTTTGTTTTTTCGACATCATTTCCTCCATACTTGAATGAAATGGATTGAGATATATTCATATATTTCATTCGGATAGAGAGATAGAGGGAGGGGGGAGTGTAAAATTATATTGCTTATATATATTAAAGGTAAGAGTTAAAAATAATAGCCATGATGACGATGATAGTAATAACGATAGCCATAAAGACAGTGGTAATAATAAAAACAACAATGATAACAGAGGCAATAATAGAAACAACGATGAATAACAATAATACTACTACTACCAATAATAATAATAATAATGATAATAATAATAATAATGACAACAACAACAACAACAACAACAACAACCACGGCAACAACAATAATAATAATAATAATAGAAATAATAATAATAATAATAATAATAATACAGTATAAGTAAACAAATAAATATGAAGAACAACTTTTCTTGGAGCATACCCATATTCTATATCCCCAGTCCCCCTCCCCCCGCCCCCCCCCCCCCCATTTCCCAGCCCCAGATAATAATAATAATAATAATAACAATAATAACAACAACAGCAATAATAATAATAATAATAATAATATTAATAATGATAATAATAAGGACAACAACATGCTGACGCTACTGTGCAGGATGTGGGAGCGGCCGGACCATTCATTGTTTTACACACTTAACTATGGCAGGCCTCTCTGCCTGCACACAATAAATTATGGCTCAAGGAACAAAGAGCGTGTACGAACGCAACGAGACACAAGCACGAGACTAATGCTCTGGCACGACACTAGAAGGGTTGTAAATTATTCAGACCAAATGGGCGAGGGCGTTAAATCGTATTAACTAAGTTAATAGGTAAGCAATCCAAGCTCTTTCCTTCACTTTAATTTTTTTTCTCTTATTCTTTGTTTTTCTTTTTTTTTTGCTTCTTCTTTCTCCTTCTTCTTGAACATTTAGAGTTTGGAGCCAAAAAAGAGGCAGAGAGCCTAATGAAATTCTTCGGGCCAGACGTGATCCAAAAGAGCCAAATTTCTGGTATTTGGCTCCAAACCGACAAACCTGACTGTGACTATTCGGACACGAACACAATCCTGTGGAGCATCAGCCCTGACACCCCCCCCCGTGTCATTTCTGGTAACCTCGTCCCTGATCCCTCTAAGATCATTTCCTGTAAAACGAGGGGGTGAGAATAGTGAGACATGGGTTATTCTCACCTTAAGTTTAGTTAAGAGTCAATAAGAGGCCAGAGGGTGGGCTAAAAAAGTAAAATTACGAATTTTAGATTTTTCACTCACCACTTGTAAGTCGAAGTGCAAGGGTCACAACTAGAAAGTCTATACAAAGGTGTTATATTTATGTGTAGAAGAAAAAAAGAGCGAACAGCCGTTGAAATTTGGATGCGTGTATTGGGACACAGCAACATGTCCGTTTATGCTCTTGTGTATATTCGGACACGGGTGTCCTTCTATTAATAGACCTACTACTATAGCATGAGTGCGAGTAATTTACATTGTGGGTCTTTTTCTTTTTGAAAATGACATGCTTCTCTTTCTTTTTGGACCAATGCTTCTTTGCGGTTTGCATAAAATTGCAGTGACTGGGAAATGCGTGATCGGCGTTGGAGGGTGCTGAAAACCAATCTCTACCGGAAATGACCCTAGCCCTAGCCTAGGGGGGACCATGGCTGAGGTTCCACAGGATCGTATTCGTGTCAAAATAGTCAAACCGTTGTAATTTTATATACTGTCACTCCTGTATGCTGATACACTACTCTAAGGCTAAGGTTTTAGGGGTCAAACCAACATATTTTTATCTGTTGAACACGTTTTTTTTAATGGCCACTAAAACCATTTAGAGCAAATCAGTGGTTTTCTATAAATCAGGGGAACATCCCCTTTGCCACCCTCTCTATTGTAGTGGGTTTTTTTCTTTTTTTCTCTTGGTTATCAATTTGTCCTTTGAAAACTTAATTAGCGTTTTATTTGTTGTCACTCTTAAAACAAATTTTTTTGTATCCTCAGACAATTTTGGAATGCAGAGTGTGCAATGAGGTCTTCCGGTTTCAAGGAGACAAAGTCCCACGTCTGCTGGTGTGTGGACACACGTGCTGTCATCAATGTTTGACACGGTTGCCTCTACACGGACGAGCTCTATTATGCCCATTTGACAGACAGCCGACAGAAATCGGTGACTCGGGAGTCTGGGGGCTAAAGAAAAACTTTGCTCTGCTAGAGTTGCTGGAGAAACTCCAGTATCCTCCGCTAAGCCCATCGAGATCCTTGCCAGATAGTGTACTTGCTAGAGAACAAAGTGTAAGTTTGATGAGCCGTGTTCATGCCATACAATACATGTGTGTCTTTGTTAGACGTTTCATTGTTTGTGATTCACATTTATAATTGTCTTTTTTTCTTGCCAGAGCATACTGCTGTATTGAATGTTGAATAAAAAGGCCATACCAGACTCCTTTTTGAAATTATAGCTTGAAAACCTTAAACAGTCACTTGACTACTGTTAACTTCTGACTCCATTCTTAGTTTCCTGACTTGCATTTAATTATGTAAAATGTCTACATTTTAAATTGTATTTTATATTAAACAATCTGAGCAATTTATAAACTATTAAATCATAATTCTTTTGGTACATTCGAAATTGTCCAAGACGCCCACTCATTGTCGTTGAGAAATGTGGTTGTCTTAGACAGTGATTGTCTTGGGCAGGTGGCCATTATTTATTATATAAGTTCAAGAATGAAAAAGACTTTTGTTGGGGTGCTGTAAAATTCTTTTTTCCGCAAATACCCTGTGTCGATGTGAGTAATTTGCATGTCTTACCTTGGTTTTTGAGATAATAGTTGAAAACATTTATTCTAGAGAGGTGAGCAGAGTAAGCCTGATTCCCCATTTTACTGAAACAAACGAAAACATTATTGTTTTTTTGTTGTTGTTCTTTCAGCTTTCTATTACCTGTGATGAAAATGAGCTGCATACGGCCATCTTGTTCTGCACTGTGTGTAGCACACATCTATGTGTGGAATGCTCGGAGAACACCCACTCCACCCGCACCCTGGCTCGCCACAAACGTGTCCCGATATCAGAAAAGCCCAAAGAAAACCCCAAATGTTCGTATCATCCCATGCACCTGGTGGAGTTTGCCTGTCTGGAGGAAGAGTGCAAGTCTTCTCCTCTGATGTGCTACATCTGTAAAGACTACGGGCGACATATGAAGCATAAGGTATTGCTTGTACTGTAAACCTGGAAGTGTAAATGTGAGGTGTTAAAAAATTTTTTTTTTTATCAAGGTGTTTTTACACCCCCATTGACACACTGGATGTTCAAGACTACAGAGATATTTGGTTGTGCAAGAGATTGAACCACCTCTTCACTTTTGTCATTCAACGTACCGGTGTCTGTGGTGTAGCTGTAAGCTCTTCGCTGTTGGACCTGAAGATGTGAATCTGTTTGGATGCTGTACCCCTCTCAGCCCAGGTTGGCTCTGATAGGCGAAGTTGAAAATTAAATGGTATACACTTAACTGTCAACTCTATTAGGCCATGTAAGAAGCAATACCTCAGAGTTTAACATCCATCTGCGAAAGGATTTAAGCTAAATAGTAAATTTTAGTAAAGCGCCTTTCCCAAGGACACAATGTCAGATTGAGCTGGGGCTTCAAACCCTCAAACCTACAATCTCACGATTTCGGGTCCGGTAGCCTAGCCTCGGAGCTACTGATGCCACGAGGCAGAGTTGAAGCAGCCTGCCAACTAAATAACCTGAAAGTGTGTCATTGGATCAGCAAAACATTAACAGTTACAAATTCTTTCCCCGTTCAACAGGTTATTCATTTTCGTGTTTTCCTCAGCATGCTTTATTAGAGACTGAGACAGAAAGTGTTCAGACGTCAATCAAAGTCAACTAAATAACCTGAAAGTGTGGCATTGGATCAGCAAAACATTTACAATTACAATTTTTTCCCCCAATTAATGTGTTATTCATTTTCGTGTTTTTCTCAGCATGCTTTATTAGAGACTGAGGCAGAAAGTGTTCGGACATCAATCAAAAGCGCCGTCCAGCATATACGATCGTTTGCCGAGGAAGTGACCGATTCTGCCCGTAAACTGAGCGGAGTTATTCAGCAGATTGAGGGCGCTATGACTGTAATCCAGAGCTCGGAAGGCGACGCCACGCCTCAACAAGTATGTCACAGTTTTTTATGTTCGTTTGTGGGACGGTATTAGATATGTGTTGGTTTTTTCTTAATTTATAAAAATATTTGTAAAATATTTGTAAAATGAAAACATTTTAAAAAATTAAAAATTTAATTTTTCTATTATATTTTTTTGGGTACATTTTTATTAAAATCAAAAAACAATAATAAAAAAAAAAATATTTAAAAAAATAAAATTTGGAAACATTTACAAAATATTTTAATTTTTTTTTGTATTCGTTTCTTTCTATGTTGCTTTTACTATCCAAGTGTAGCTGACTAATAGCCTGTGGTGTCCGGGGAAGTTATGTGATTATGGAATGCTTTAGCAAGTACTTTGAGAGATATCAAATTTTTTGATTCCTTCAAATGTCAGCTGAAGTCGTTTCTGTTTTTAAATTAATAAGATGAATATTTGGAATAATTTTCTTTAGTCAGAACACAATGTTTTATGTTACTGTTGTATGTTGTACTGTATTGTAAAGCGCTCAGAGCCTGTGTACTTAATTTGGGGTTGAGCGCTATATAAATGTAATTTATTATTATTATTTTATTATATTCTGTTGGAAAAGGTTTGAGAACACGCAAACCAAGCAAGTAAAGGTCATAAACCTATGAATTTTCAGAAACACAAATAAAAATAAGTAGAGCTCATTTATGGAGGAGTTGAGATGTTTGGCTATACATATAAAACGGGATGAACTAACTGAAATAATGACTAAAATTACGGTCGAATAAAAACAGTTGTCAACATAAGGAGGGTTAAAATTGAATGCCCATAATTAATTTAAAATAGGTTTTGTAGATTTGAAATCTGCCCCATTTTTTCATTGTCTGGAAACATGACGTTTTATTCCAAAATGATGCCTGTATCTCTCATCATTTGTTCTGGGGCAGCTTTCAGCTGATGGAGATACAATTTTAACTAAACCCTTATTGTGCTTTGGAAGAAAAAAACATCCCCCCCCCCCCCCCCCCAGGGCAGTGCCACTGACTGAAGTGTCATTAGGCCATTCCCAAAGGGGGATATTATCATGTTCTTATGCACAGTAGAATTGTAAATGGGCTGATTTATCAATGTCATGCTCATTCTGTGCCCGAACAACATAGGGGGAACTGCTGCTTTTTCTTTCCTCATCCTTACTTTCGTCTTTTTTCCTTTACTTCTTTTGTATGTTTGTCCCTCTCTTGTGAACTGCTATTTCCGGGGTGCCTTGATAGTCAAAGCAGACTTTGTGCCGTTGAGGCTAGAGAGGTGAGCAGAGTAAGCCTGATTCCCTGTTTGGACTTCTCTGTTGACATCCACCCCTTGGCGCTCATATGACCTCATGCAGTTGCGAGCGCTGTAAAACCTTACTAAAAGTAAAAGAAGTGTCCCTTATTGATTCTGTACTGAGATGTATTATTAACCTTTGAGTCTGTAGAAGCTGCAATGATAAACACTGGTCGTGAACTACTGAAACGGGATGGAGGTTTTTGTGGAAAAAAAATCCATTCCATATTTATCTCAGCTACATCTTTTGTTTTTCACCCAATCCTATATTTTCTTACAGTGGTTGTTGATGTTTGCTGTGTTGTTTTGTCTTGAGTGCTATCTGTCCTTTATTGTTGAGAAAACTACTGCAAAAAAAGTCCCGTTGAATCTGTTGATTGATCAATAATAATAATGATAATTGCATTTATACACCGCATATCCATGCTCTGCAGCATGCTCAATATGTTTTACACTTATTATCCCAGCAGACTATAGAACACTCAGAAACATTCTCAGATTTCTCTGCAGCATACAATGCTAGCAGCTGCCGATTGAAACACTAACAAACTGACTGGATATTTTGCTGTCTGTAGTCAGGTACCCATTCCCCCCTGGGGGAAGTGAGAAAAATTCATGTTAAGTTCTTTTCCCAAAGACACAACAGCAAGCCTTTGATTCTGTTTTTAAACCCATCGCTTTTTTGTTCAGGAACTCGTCAACATAATCACCAGACCACCGAAGCCACTGACTGATCACAGAAATGTTTTCTGTATTTTTCCTTGACCAGGTGACGGGAACAGCAGAACAAGCCAGACTCAAGATCAAGACATATTTCAACGAGCTGCGAGAAAACCTTAGTCGGCAGGAGATTGCGGCGTTGGCGGCCGTGGACACACACATCAGGGAGAAGCTTTGCTCTCTGCGCCAACAGCAGGAGGACATGGCTATCCTCATGTCGCAGATCTCTGCCGTCTGCCACCAGTGTGAGAACACGCTGCAACAGGTGGGGACACTGGGGGGAGGCCATATTGTATGTGTCGCAGTGTGGGGGGGGGGCATATTGAATGTGTCGCAGTGTGGGGGGGGGGGGCTGAATGTTTCAAAATGGGGGGGGGGGGGGCTATTGGAAAGTTTTCCCGTTTGAAGGGGGGGCCTAATTTAATTTTTTCTCAATTTGGAGGGGGGGGGGGGGCAAAATGAAAATAGTCCCCCCGTGGCAGGGGGGGGGGGGGGAAATTAAAAAATTTATAAATTGGAAGAGGGGGGGGGGGGGGGGGCTTTATATTGAATGTGTGGCAGTGTGAGGGGGGGGGGGGCATATTGAATGTGTCGCAGTGTGGTGAAATCGGGGGCTCATCAGTTTTTGGACATATGGAGTTATTGCTATCATGTTAAAGCATCTGACTAATATGAAAAGGTGCTCGTGATGATGTTATAATAATAATAATAATAAATAGCATTTATACTGCGCATTTCCATTTCCTAAAAGATGCTCAATGCGCATTACAATGAAAAAGACATCACATCTTAAAAATTAATCGACACAAATGTGTACGTAAAACAAAGTATTATACATATAATATAAATGCATATGTGTAAAATTTTATACCAGAAAAACAGTCTCGCAGTGAGGTTGAAAATGTGTTCACTAAAAATATACAATGCAATATAAATTCACGAACAGTCAAAATACAGTTGAAACGTGAGTAACTAGAAACATTCATTAAAACATTAATTCTATACAGATAGAAAAACATTTCCACTCTATCTCTCTCTCTCTCTCTCTCTCTCTCTCTCTCTCTCTCTCTCTCTCTCTCTCACTCTCTCTGTCTGTCTGTCTCTCTCTCTCTCCCTCTCTCTCTCTCCCTCTCCCTCTATCTCTCTCTCTCTTTCTCTCTCCCTCTCTCGCTATCTCTCTCTTTTCTCTCTCTTTTCTCTCTCTATCTCTCTCTTTTTCTCTCTCTCATTCTCACTCGCTATTTCTTCAGTCTCACAGTCTGGCATACACATGCATATATATCACAGTACATCATTATGACAGGTATGCTTTTGTGAATAAAAAATGCTTCAGCTGATTTTTGAAAATGGAAATTGTTGGGGCAGATCTTATTTTATATGGGATTTCGTTCCATACCTGGGGACCAAAGAACAAAAAGGAACGCTCGCCGTATGTTTTGTAGTTTTGTTTTGGAGTTTTAAGAATTAGATTGTCAGAGGCTGATCTAAGGGCTCTAGGTGGATTATATAATTCCAGGAATGTTTTAAGATAAAAAGGTGCACTATCATTTATACATTTAAAACAGAGAACGGCAGTTTTGTATTTAATCCTTTCTTTTATTGGCAGCCAGTGTAGTTCTTTCAGAATTGGTGTTACGTGGGCTGATTTCTTTTGTTTCATTATCAATTTTGCTGCTTGATTTTGAAGTACTTGTAACTTTGATAGTTTTTCGGATGTCAAACCGGACAAAATAACATTACAGTAATCTAACTTTGATAAAATGAGTGTTGTTACAAGTGTCTTGGCTGCTGCTTTAGTTAAATAATTTCTTACACTGCCAATTTTCTTAAGCTGAAAGTAAATACTTTTGCTGAGCTGGCTTATTTGGGAGGACATAGACATATCATAATCCAACTGAACCCCTAGATTTTTAAGACTTCTTTTTGAACGAATGGTATGGTTATTAATATCAATTTGTAGCTCTGGGAGATTTTTAATGGCTTTTGTATTTCCACTCAACATTATTTCCGTCTTGTCATCATTTAGTTTCAATTTATTGCTGGTCATCCATATTTTTAAATCTCTAGTACATTGTTCAGTAGAGTCGACTAAAAGTGGTATTTGATCGAAATCAATAGACTTATAAATTTGAGTGTCATCAGCATAAAGATGGTAATTCATGCCATATTGTCTTAAAATATCAACAATAGGTTGTGTATACATTGTAAACAAGACAGGTCCAAGAACAGACCCCTGAGGAACACCACATCTAAGCAAAACATTATTAGAACACGTGTTTCCAACCACAACTGCTTGTGTTCGATCCTTAAAATATGACTCAAACCATCGCAGGACAGTACCCTTTATGCCAAAAGTAGTATTTAATCTCTCGAGTAAAATACCATGATCAATGGTATCGAATGCAGCCGAAAGGTCCAAAAGAGTAAGAAGACATACCTTTTTTTCATCAATATATTTTAAAATATCAGTACAGACCCTAAGTAACGCTGTCTCGGTACTATGGTGTGCCTTATATGCTGACTGATAGACTTCGCTAAGATTATTTGCTTTAATATGATGTAACAGTCTATTAGATACAACTTTTTCAAGAATTTTGGAAAGGAAAGAAAGATTTGAAACTGGTCTAAAATTTTTAAAGTCCTTTTCATCAAGTCCAGATTTTTTCAAAAGGGGTCTAATATGGGCTGTCTTAAAGCAATTTGGTACTGTGCCTGTGAGGAGAGAATCATTTACAATTTGGGTGATATGTGGAAGAAGTTCATGCAAACATTTTTTTAAAAGGCTGGTGGGCATAGGGTCTAAGGCGCAACTTTTTGATAGACTATCTAATATGATCTTTTTGATTTCTTCTTCCGTTGCTGGAGTAAAATAATCGATGACTAACCCTTTAAACTGATGGTAATTTGGGGCAATTGCGCACATTTTATCGAGCTCTTGTCTGATGGAGGTGATTTTTTTAGAAAAAAAGTCTGAAAAACTACTACAAAGATCTCTATCGGTGCCAGGGGGTAATACAGCTCTGTTTTGGTTGCCAAGCAGTTCACTAGAGACATCAAAAAGTTCCCTACAAGTTTTAACATTTTCAAATTTTGACAAAAAGAAAGTACGCTTGGCTTTGGTAATCATTTTACTAACAGAATTCTTCATAGTAATAAATATTCCCTTATGCACTTCAAGTCGTGTTTTTCTCCATTTTCTTTCCGCTTGTCTTTTTTCTTTTTTTGCAGCCTTTATTTCTAAATTAAACCACCTACCAACAGGTCGATGAGATAATTTTCGTTTTTTAACTGGAGCATGATCATCTAAAATATTCCTCATGATGGTATTGAGGGTTTCTATATTAAAAGGGGAACTAATAGCAAGAGCATCACGAAAGTCACATTGAAACTGGTGTAAATTTATATCGTTCAGATTTCGGGAATTAACTGTTTTTATTTCTTTCCTTGGTCTTTTGATGTTCAAGTCAACAATAAGAAGATAATGATCGGAAATGTCTTTGTCCAGAACGTTTATGCCTTTCACACAGTTCTTTTCAATAGGAGAGATAACCCAGTCTAGGATGTGCTGACTTTTATGTGTTGGTACTTGTACGAGTTGTTTTAAATCATTTTCTGTCAGCAGGTTGCTTATATTTTTAGTGACAGGGTTTTCAGAGCCAAAATTAAAATTAAAATCGCCAGTTATAATGAATGGTGTACTTTTCATCTTCAGAGATGAAATTAAATTTAGAAATTCCTCTATAAAAACGGATGATTTGATATAATTTTCTTTACTCGGTGGTGGCCTGTATATGCAGCAGATGGTAATGCTTTGGGACTGCAGCTGGAAGGACATTAAAGCAGCCTCACATGAGTGACAGGGAATCTTTTTCACACTAACTTGTGCTAAATTAGTTCTAAAAATAAATACTACTCCTCCTCCTCTACGCCCAACACGAGGGAAAGACTTAATTGAATAACCTACTGGACATATTGCTGATAAAATCGCATCGTCACCGTACTCCTGCAACCATGATTCTGTTATACAAAAAATATCAAGGTTCATCTCAATAATTAAATCATTTAACTCGTCTGCTTTATTCCGGCATGACCTGGTGTTGAGGCACGCTACTCTCACATTTTGTATTTCTTCTTGCAAAAAGTTTCGACAGTCGATTTTGACCAAATTGTTAATGTTAGTTCTGTTTTTCGGTCTACTGCTGATGCACGAATTTTCTAAATCATAAACACTTAACACCACAGGGATTGTCCTTTGTTTTCGTCGTCCACCTCTTTTCTTTCTTCTCGTTTTTTTCCACTTCACTGGTATAACACTAACACACGAACAAGAGCTGGGAGAAACACACGTATTCACACATTTGTTCCCGAGCACAGAGTTGGAAAAGACTCGGTGAACAGTTTTCATGAGACACTCAGGAGAAAAAATTTCTTTGTTGTTGTAAACGTTCGAGGGTTGACGGAGTGTAGACCCCAGAAGATGAAAAAATGTCCAATAGAAAAATACCAAGTCAATCATGGCGAATTGAAAACTGATAATTTAATTGAAAATACTGACTGTTTTTGTACAAATCCTACATCACCACATACACTGTCAAATGACGAATACACTGATATAAAAATCCACTGTATGAATAACTTAAAAATGCACTAGAAACTGTTATAATCGAGAGAGATTATGGAGCAGCCTGTCAGGCGCTCAACACAACTCATATGTGTATATATTGAACTTTTTTGTATGGAAATGAATATATACGAGTTTAGAGAAGGCGGACGTTACGCAATGTTTCAAGTGAGATTAGGGAGAAAGTGGCCGTCAAAGTTAAGTGGCTCTTAAAGCTGGATACTTGTACTTCTCACAAAATAAAATTTTTTTTTTTCTTGTAACGTTTGTAACTTTGGCTTTATACATCTGTAAAAATGACTACTCCCTCTTCCCCCTTCGCATTTTTTCTGTCCTATTACGACACTGTCCCAGGCGTCCACCTGTCTAAGACTACTGCTTTTCTTTTCGACATCGGGTGGCCCTCTAGGATAATTTTTACAGTATTTTTGTTTTTACTACTTTGTTTCCTAGTAGGATGACACCAGTCATTACTGTTGTTTCTTTGATAACATTGTGGAATCAGGTTACTCGCAATTTTGGGGCATACAGAGTTATTGGTATAATCTTAAAGCCTGTTTATTTGCCTTGCCTTTGATTAAAAAAAATACTCATCTATTTTGAACAGAAGTTGAGATATTTGCCATTGAAGGAGGTAAGGATTGTCTGGTGTCAGAGGTAAAATTTGTGAGAATATGGTCACAGAAGTTTGATGATTTCCAAAGCTTGAGTGTCTTTGGAAACTGTAATTTTAGGTTTGTTGTGCATTTAGTCAACATTTTTCAACAAAGTCCACACAGAAATATGTTTTCAAATAGACGTATCAGATAGTGAGCCTAAAAAGAGCTTGATAAAAAATTGCCGGAATGGAAAAATGTCCGTTTCTTTGATTTCATTATTTTGATGAGCGCCCGGTTTCTCCAGAATGTTTCAGATATTTTCTTTTCTTTTAGGAAGACACCAGTATTGTACTATTACTGTGGTGTCCACATAACAGCAACCCACATAAGAGCCTAATCCTAAGCTTGTTTAATGGAATTTTCCTATATAAATAATCCCCTTTAACACTTTGCCCCCACTGGAGGCCGATCGGCGACTGTAAGAAGCTGTACCTTTTCCCCTCGGGATGCCGATCGGCGACTGTAAGAAGCTGTACCTTTTCCCCACTGGAGGCCGATCGGCGACTGTAAGAAGCTGTACCTTTTCCCCTCGGGATGCCGATCGGCGACTGTAAGAAGCTGTACCTTTTCCCCTCGGGATGCCGATCGGCGACTGTAAGAAGCTGTACCTTTTCCCCACTGGAGGCCGATCGGCGACTGTAAGAAGCTGTACCTTTTCCCCTCGGGATGCCGATCGGCGACTGTAAGAAGCTGTACCTTTTCCCCACTGGAGGCCGATCGGCGACTGTAAGAAGCTGTACCTTTTCCCCACTGGAGGCCGATCGGCGACTGTAAGAAGCTGTACCTTTTCCCCTCGGGATGCCGATCGGCGACTGTAAGAAGCTGTACCTTTTCCCCTCGGGATGCCGATCGGCGACTGTAAGAAGCTGTACCTTTTCCCCTCGGGATGCCGATCGGCGACTGTAAGAAGCTGTACCTTTTCCCCTCGGGATGCCGATCGGCGACGGTGTGATATAGCATTTACCACATCTGTATCCTGGTCCGTGGGGATAAGTGTTGCGTGCTCTGCGTACTGCGTGGGGGGGATAGTGTTAACAGTCTTTGATCAGACTTTGATCTTCAGAGCGCGCACAGGACACTTACACACCAACAAGCACCTAAACAGAATTAACCCCATGTGGGAACCCCATTGCAGACACTGTGACTACCACAAGGAGACCGTTGAACATCTTCTCCTTCACTGCCCAAACCTGGCAGTTCTTTGACGCAGGCTCCTACACACACCTACAGACTTACAAAGCCTGCTCTGCTCTGGCGTTGACCAGATGACAAGGACATGTGGTTACTTGAAGGAGGCATTGCACTGCCAAGAGCGAAATGCTTGCAGTTAAGGGGATTTAAAAACAACAACAACAGCAACCTTTTACTCTAGCAGCAAACTTCGTTGCTATAAATTATCTGAAATAAATTGTTTTTTTTTGTTTTGTTGCAGGACGACACCAAGATTCTGTTGGCCAAGCCGGAGGTTGGGAACCTGCTTGACACTCTACAGAAGCAGCAGCAGCAGTTTATGGGTCTGCCGGACCAGATAGCCTTAGAGCCAACCATCCCTATCACATTCACTAAGGTCAGGGGTTGTGTAGTTGTTGTTGATGAAAGGCTGTGTGTGTGTGTGTGTGTGTGTGTGTGTGTGTGTGTGTGTGTGTGTGTGTGTGTGTGTGTGTGTGTGTGTGTGTGTGTGTGTGTGTGTGTGTGTGTGTGTGTGTGTGTGTGTGTGGGGGGTGATGATGTGTGTGTGTGTGTTTGTGTGTGAATGTGTGAGTGAGGGAGTGAATGAGGGAGTAGCCTACATATGTGTGGGAGTACATTTGTGTGTCTGTGAGTGCCTGTGTACTTTAATCGGGGTTGAGCACTATATAAATGTGATTTATTATTATTATTTATGTTTGTCTGCACAGTCGTCACGATGTAAATACAAGTATATTCACATGTGTGTGTGTCCGTGTGTCTGCGTGTATATGTTGTACACATACCTTAAGTGTAAATTTGAGTGTACGCATATGTGCAGTATGTTTTTTAATTTTTTAAATTTTGCAATATACGAAGAAGGTAGAATGAGTAGTGTTTTTTTTCTTTTGCAGGATAACCGAGTGCATATAGGACCAAAAATCGAAATGCGAGTGGTCACCCTAGGTCTTGATGGTGCGGGCAAAACAAGCATTCTTTTCAAATTGAAACAGAATGAATTTATACCAACAATACCGACAATAGGTAAGTTCTGTACTGTTGGTGAGTCAGACTTTAACGGTAGGTGCTCTGATGGGGTTTGCTCCTTCTGTCCGATCCAACGTCTATTTTGCTCTTACTTTCTTTTTTCCCTGTAAAAATTACTTAAAAAAATCCTTCACATGTCTTCTGTATGTGGGTGGTTGGCAGGTGCTCTGGTGTGGTTTGCTTGCTCCTTCTTTCCTATCGGACATCGGTCGTCCTTATCTCTTCCTCTCCTTCTTTTTTATATATTACACTTGTAACACCTCTGATCTTGGGCATTTATAATTATGACGTTATTGTGTTGCAAGTGTCGTAAAACTCATATACTGAAATGAGATTACAGAAAGTGCTTTCTGTGTGTTTTTCTCAAAATTGTTCACTTGTTTTCTGTGTTTTCCTCCCAGGTTTTAATGTGGAGACAGTGGAATACAAAAACTTCAAGTTTACGATCTGGGACGTCGGCGGTCAACACAAGATCAGGCCTCTGTGGAAACACTACTACTTCAATACTCAAGGTGTGTGTGTGTGTGGGGGGGATGGGGGGATGCTCATGTTGGGTAAAAATGTTTTTGTAATGTGGGTGTTTTACACCTCCATCAACCCAATTTAGATTGTGCAGGTTGGGTTGCGGGCTTTGAGGTGAGAGTGAGAGGGAGGGAGGGAGGGAGGGAGGGAGGGATTATGTCTGGAATGCTCTGGGCTGACCCTGACAATATATTATAGAATGATTGTGAAGCGAATATACTTTGGGGGTCCCTTCGGTCATTTGGACATTTCTTAAGGAAGTCACGTGAGTTTTTTTTATCTTCCGTCCCCAGCTGTGATCTTTGTGGTAGACAGCAGCAATCGAGAGCGACTTGACGAGGCACAGGGAGAGCTGGTGAAGCTGGTGCATGAGAAGGAGCTGAAGGACGCGTCGCTCCTCATCTTTGCCAACAAGCAGGTAGGCTCTGCTTTGCCGTACTCTGACAAAACGCCTTTTTCAACTTTTTCTTATTCACAGCAGTTTAGAGAAATCAGCTTTTTTTGGTTTTCTTATGATATCTAAACTATTTTGCCGAATACATCAACGGTTGGTCTCGCTCTCCGAAGAGAAATGTCGTTCCCTATGCTCGACAGATATAAGAAAACCGAAAATCGTTGATTTCTCGAAACATGCAGTGAATTTGTAGAAACAATCGAGACTTACCTGTAAGATGATGATTGTTTCTGATTTTGACGATCTGTCGTCAGGAACGGAGTGGTAATATGGGATGCGCGCTAACCGATCCAGTCACTCTTCAGCCAGTCACAGTTGATGTGAGCATGCCCATAGTGTTATACATGTAGTACAACTTTGGCATGCACAATATAATATAATATCATCATAGCAACACCAATTACCTGAGCACTGTATGTCATACACAT